AACAACTGGGTGTCATACTCAGTTGATTGAGTGTATTTGGAGCCACGCCAAACTTAAAATAATGGCGAATAAAAGAGGGACAACTATTTTCTTATTACAAAGCCATTTAAGCTTTTTTTGCTTTTGTTACCGATTTATAGGATCGGAGTTTGAAGAATTTATGAGAATATTAGGTGGCGAGTATTAATAAATTTAGTTGACTTTTTTTTTATTTTATCAATTTATTAAAATTTATGGGGCGCCAATCCAATTGACGGATTAAAACTAAAAAATGGGGCGCCAATCAAAACGGTGCCGATTTATGAAACATTGCTGCGGATTTTGGGGGATGAAGAATCTTTTTTGACCTTCCTGGAGGAAAGTGGCTGCCTAAAACCCATGGTGGAAAGACTTTGTAAGTTTTGCGGCAGCAACAGACTCTCTGTAAGGTCAAGAAAGAGAGTAGAGCAGGTGCACTTCTTTCTCCGATGCGAGTCGTGTCGAAGAGAATATACGCTCTTCGAAAATACCTTTTTTGTTATGAAGAAGGGAGAACAGGACTTGCTACACCTGTCTAATCATTGATAAAGCTGATCTTCCTATATTTTGAGAGTAGGACGGTAAAATACATCATGTCTGCAACTCAAATTAAAGGTAGTGAAGCCGTTATTAATTGGACAAACATATTAAGGTTGGAAACTCGTGATTATATCATGAGTGGAAAACTAAGAGGAGAAGGCAAAGTTGTACAAATCGACGAATCTCTGTTTAGAGGTCGTCGAAAGTACAACCTTGGCAGATTGCTTCTTGATGACTTTATGGAGAGCCTTGATGATGCTCGCCGTAAAAATAATTATAGTGAACGTATCAATGGACCATAGGTTTTTGGCAATGCTGAAGAAGGATCCAGGAAGGTCAAAATGTTTGTTGTGGAAAAAATAGATCGTGATTCTATGCTTCCTCTCCTACTTGAACACGTGGATAATAGTAGTATTATCCACAGTGATGGCTGGAAAGCTTATTCCGGACTAAGTACTGTGATTAACGACCATAAGGTCGTTAATCATTCTAAAAATTTTGTTGACCCCAATACTCGTTGCCATGCTCAATTAATTGATTGTATTTGGGGTCAAGTAAAATTGTAGATAATAAAAAATAAGAGGGGAACTACCTTTACAATGTTACAAAGCCATTTGAGCTTTTTCTGTTTCTGTTATCAATTTAAAGAAGAATCTTTTGAAAAATTTTTTAAAATAATAAAAAACAGTAATTAACAATATTTTAAATTTTTACTGAAAAAATTATATATATAAAATTTGGTGCGCCAATCCGATCGTGGGGCGCCAATCGAAACGGTATCGATAACTTTATGATGGTTAGTGTGTATAATAACCCTTTTAAACTTATGTGATAAAATTAATTGATAATGGATTTTGGAAAGCTAGAATAAACCACAAAAAATTTAAATATTGAAAAAAAGAGTGCACTGTTTTGATAAGCACTCTATTTTTATTTTTAATCCGTCAATTAAATTGAATCCCCATAAATTATTATAGTAAAAAATAAATCAATAAAATTTATTAAAAATTCTTACCTAAAAACTTCATAAATTCTTTGAACTTCGTTCCTTTATCTTGATAAAAAAACAAAAAAAAACGGAAACGATTTTATAAGTAAAAAATAGAAACATCTCTTTTATTTTTTATTATTTTAAGCTTAGTATGGCTTCATATATACCCAATAAGCTAAGTATCATATCCAGTTATTGGGTCTATTAATTATCATTATGGTTTACTACATTATGGCGATAAATATAGGAGTTTAGACTATGATTTGCTTTCCATCCATCTGATACGATGACACTTTGCGTATCCGCATGTTCAAACAATAGTGGCAGCAAAGTGTATTTGTTTCGTTTCTCTACAAAAACATCTTGACTTTACTGATGTCCTGCTCTGTCATTCCAAAAACCCATAATCTATCGACTTTGTTGCCAAAGTTATTTGTGTAATTGTTAATTTAATTAATCTTTATAAAATTATCAAAAAGAAGTCTTATTTGGTTGTACATTTGACAACTTCTAAAAAAGATTTAGCTATTTATACAACTTACGACGGAATCCTCATTTTTCACTCATGATATAATAATGACTTTAAAGTCGGATCTAATTATTCTAAATGGTCACTGTAACAATTCTTTTAATTTGAGTTACAGTCATCATACATAATACTGTTCTCTCCTTAAAATAAAAAATTGCTAACTTTTGAACTGATGTTACAAGTCGTATTCTTCATTCCTCATGACAAAAGAAGGTGTTCTCAAAGAGATTATGCTCTTTATGACACGACTTGCACTGTAGAAAGAAGTGTGTGTCAACTCTCTTTATAATCCTCGAAAAGTCTTTAGCTTTCACAAAATCCGCACTAACTTTCGACCACGAGTTTTATGGCACCAATTGACTCTAAAAAAGTCAAAAAACATTATCTTCAAAGATAGCTTCTAATAACTCGCTATACTACATTAAGGGTGTAAAAATTTGATAAAAATTTTATGGGGCAATCAATTTTAAATAGTTAGTTTTATGTATGGGCGCCAATCTAAAGAATACTAAAATTAGGTGATTCATTTTGTTATCACTTTTGTTTGAGCATTTTAATAGATAAAATGTTGTTATTTTAAATGTTTGGAGTGCCTACAATGGTTATGCTCTCATTTTAATAAACATAATAGGCTTAACCATGATAAAAACTTCATAGATTCAACAATCGTGTATTACACTTAGTTGATTGAGTGTATACGTAGTCATAATAGGTTAGAAATAATAATAATAAAATAGGACCAATCCTTTCTTTTTAATAAAGTTATTAAGTTTTTATACCGATATAAAGGATCTGATTTTTTATAATTTATGAAAATATTAAAAAACAATAATTAATATTTTGTTTTGTTTGTTAAGAATAATCAATAAAAAATTATAAAGAAAATTAAATATAAGGAATGAAACTATAAAATGGATTAAATTCAAAAAGTGCCGATGTTGGAATATTTAGATTGTTTATAAAATTTCTATTAAACAATATAAGTAATAAATTAAAAAAACATTAAGAAAATTA